GCGTAAATAGCCACGGAAGGCGACTCGCGAGTCGCCGCTTCTCTCGACGACGATCGGTCGCTGTCTTTGGCGCGGCCCTACGTGGACGCGCTCCTGTACCTACGCCAGCGAAAGAAAGTAACTAACGTTTGCTCGCAAGACGCCTGAGTGAAAGCACAAGCCCGTTCGTTCGCTACGGGTTTTATGGGCATCTATACGTTAAGCCCGACGTTTTCACACGTATTGCACGTTGTGTCGGGTCACATTCTCTTTTTCTACACGGCACAGATATCCGGTGAGCAATAACGACTTGGATCCTAGTGTGCAAATTTTCCCAAATTGCGAATTTTTCACTACTTTCCCGCACATACTTTTCACTTTAATGTGGCACGTTTGTCTCTTGACGAGAGAGGTTCCAGGTGAGCGAAATAACTAAACGTAATAAATAATTAATCCCTTTGTGACATTACGACATAAGAGAGTAGGAAAAGAGAAAAAGACTATAAGAGAACACACGAATTGGATAGGAGTAAAATTCTTATTAATCGATTTTGTTCGAAAAACGCGGAAATTCGCTGATCACCTTGTAGCTTGACTCAATCGTTGAGAGAATCAGTGCCGTGAGACGCGCACGTGTGAGTACGTGGAACGTGACAGCGAGGTGCACCAGTTCAAGAGGATGCAGCGACTACGCGTTGCAAGGGAAATTTCCTTTCTCCCGCGTATATGCGAAACGTGCCGCGGAATATCGATCTCGATTTCGCGATGCTCGTATATATGGTAACGATTACGCGCGAGTATAATGCGACCGTACATCGACCTTTCGCATCGAACATAAAAATGCTTAACAATTAGCAATCTGTACCCTCTTTCAACCACTTTCGCGTCTCTACTTTTTCTCTTTGCGAAACGAAGCATTGCGGCTCGAGAGCTACGAGGGACTTGAACGAACATTTCAAAATTTCATTTTGATTCCGTCAACTAATGAGACGCTTCAGTCGACAATCGCATCGGGCGATTACGGAACCCACGGTAGATGGACGTAGTAACCGCGAAATCTCAAGCGGACGATCATAATTACGACTTTCCTCTCGGCGCGAGAATATCACAATGTCACCGCGACGACTACACGCGCGACAGATGCTACAAATTCGCCCTTTCAATGCGCGATATCCAAGCACGTCAAACTCAAACAGACGTGTTTCCAACTAGATGTGTGTCCTGTCGTGTCGTATTTAGCGACGATATACATATTTTATGAGAGAATGAGGATTCGAATACACGCTTGGCTCGCGATCACGATTGGTGGCCGATCGATGAGTTTACTGCGGATGGACGATGGTTCGATTGTGAACCTGCTCGTCGTTGCCTGCCATCAAGTTATCTGCCATGTGGATCAACTACGTTTCGAGTAAGACGAGGTGGGAGTCACGAAGGGGAAGCGGGACGTAGAGGACGAGTCGACGTACATCGAGCTATTTCGAGTCGCTTCGCTCATCCTGCTGAATAAATGATGCTTTCGTTCCGAGGGTCCCAGCGACAGCTATTATGACGGGAGGTCGACCTTTCGGATTAATTGCCCGCGATGAGGCCTTCTCGATTCGTGCGGCATCGCCAAACGTGTTGCGAAATGATACTCAAACATCTAGCTTTGAGAGCACTCGAGAGAGAAGAGAAGGTTCTCTCGCGCGCTGTGAGAAAGAACTTTGCGGATGTGTGTGGGGAATTGAAATTACGAACATGTTTTCGTAAGCGACGACGTAAAGTACTCGCGTAGATTCGAGTACGGGCTATAGCCTGGCGAAATGAAGGCGCGAAATATTTCAGAGAGATGTTTGAATAAAATATTACCTCATATCAAACAGGGCAAGATCGCGAGAAAGAAGCGATTCGTTTGTTACGAGTTTGCGCGTTTTATCCGTCCCTCGCCTAATATTAATTCTATCGATCCTTGAACTATCGTACTCTTGCGTTCTCGGGCAAATAATGTGCAAAGAGGATCCACCAAGTAAAAGGTGGCCTTGATCAATTTCGGACACAGTCTTTCATAGCGATCGGTTTATTTGCGTTTGTGTGCGCGATGCACTCGTTCTCTCTCTCTCTCTCTCTCTCTCTCTCTCTCTCTCTCTCTTTTCTTCTCGAAAAAAGTCTTGGATCGTTTCAGACGGGACGTTTAAAAAATTGCACGTTACAACATATTCCGACGTAACACTTGAGAAATATGAATGGGCTGAGGAATGATAACTGAAGGTCTTTAGTGAACGATCGCCATTTGTCACTCAGTATTTCAACCGTGTATAAGGCGAAGGATAAAGCTATTATGTGTGCGCGTACGAAAACGTGATGTATTGTGCGAACGTACGTGTTATTGCACGATGCGCGAATATATTTGTATGACTTTCCCTCGCGACAAAAAAGAGATTTTGATGGAAAGTTAACGTTTTTACGCGAGACGAGTGACCGCAGTCACATGTCAAATATTACGGCGCGGCGCATTTGCGTAGTTTCACAAAGCACGGAAATATTGTTCAACACTTTTATAGTTTAGTCGAGATAATTGAATGATAATCACAGTGATTTAAATCGCGGAAGATGCTTGCCTCTGTTAAATTGCTTTCTATGCATTACGTTACTTCCTCAAGAGCAAAAATATTGCGCTACTGCGAAGCGTACTTTGTTCATCGTGATTGCGTCTAATTATGCGTTACGATAATACATTATTATTACGCTCATATGAATTATTATACATACACATGCGTAGCTCGCCGAGAAAAATTTCTTCCTTCTCGCGTTGTAGTTTTAATAATGTAAATACAGAATGGAGGCGCAGAGTAGTTTCGCATTCTCTCTCTCTCTCTCTCTCTCTCTCTCTCTCTCTCTCTCTCTCGTGATTCTACGCTGCAATAATAAAGAACATTATCGCGAAACATTACTTGTATGCTCTCGTTTTCGTAATACAACTCTCCGCAACATGCAGATTCGTGGGGCATAATTCCGTACATAAATCGATCAGTCGTGCAGGTATGCCGATTCGTCATTGCGAAACACGCGTCGGCCGCCTGTCATCCACGAGACGGCGAGACGACGGGACGAAGCGAGAAAATTGCTCGGCTCCGCACGAGCGTATCGCGTCGTCGCTTGCCGACGCGTAACAACGATGATCCCTTTAATCAATTAGCTCGACGGTGAGAAATGAGGTAACGCCGCCGCGTTCGCGGGTGCACTCGCGGGGGCACTTGCGGGACGGGACGTCGCGATGCACCGCTCGGCCGCAGAAAATGACGGTTACTCGACCACGGATATTAATTATCTAGGGCAGAGATGCGCTCACAATGCGCTCCGCGATCGAGGCCCGCCGGCGTGACTTTCGCTTTTCCTACTATACCCGTCTATGTCTATCAGCGGTCGACTGTACCGCGCTGCTGCGCTTTCCTCCCCTCGTCCTTTCTGCGCGCGCGCGCGCGCGCGCGCGATTGTTGCACTCGCTTGGTTGCAGCATGCCTAAACACTGGAAAAACTGCGCAGCGCCGCTGGAAAGACGACGCTTTCCTCTTGCGAGAGCGAGACACACTTGCAAAACACTTGTACTAACGAGGAAACGTCTGCCCGATTATGCCGAAAGATGTGTCTTGATGCATTCCTTTGTATTTTTGTCAGTAGAGGCAAACGGCTCGACGCCACGCTCGTCGATTCGCCGCGACCCACTTTCTTTCCGACTTGACGCTCGAGGAAATTCGTCCCGACATTTTTCCAACATTGAGTCTAGATCCATTCGAGAGATCTAGATCGTCGTTTGAACGTAACTTGGTTTCACAGCAGAGACTACCGAGTATTTGGATTACGAGTATTTGGATTTGACGTTGACGTTAACGAGACTTGGTGCTTGGTTCAATGGGTTTAGCAATGATCAAAAATCCCCACCGTTCGAATTTATAGTACTCGATGTAGGATTGCTGAAACGTCGTCATCACGCCGCGACGTGGCTATCGTTTCCATGCAAAAGTGTCGAGATGACGTTTTGAATAGAGCCGTTCTATAATTTCGCGCGACTATAGAAGCTGTTCGCGACCGAATGCAAATTGCAGACGAATAGAAACGTGTCTTAGTTCACGTGATTGATCGATCGCTCGATCGCCGATCGAACCGATTGGCATCTTGGATTATTATCGCCCGATAAAGCATTGCGAGACCTTTGAAGGGCTCTCACACACGTCACCGATTAAATTTATCCAAACAAAATATCTCGTCGACCGTCCGCATCCAGTCGCATCGAATCGACATATTTTCAACCCGAAAGACAGTTCGCAAGGCTATGTATGATTCGAAAGATAAAAAAAAAATGTGGTACTCCCAGAGAGAAGAATCCATCCTAGAGGGATGATTCTATACAGTGATGCGTCTATACAGTGTCGTAACGATCGATCAACCGGCGATCGAGATACTTGAAATTAGGCCAGCGATCCGTGTGTTAGCGCAACGTTGTCACAGTCGACACATCTCAGCCACACTCACCTTATTGCTACATGAGCAATAATAAATGGTTGATTTAGCAACGACGTTCTTTCAGCAATCGCTGAGAGAGTCGTAGGTGTAGGGACCATTCGGTGAAGTTTGCGCTCGCTGAGAATTCTTCTTCATCGCGCGCACTAATCGGGTCGGCTACCAATCCGTCACAAGAGAAACGGGGTCGATGGCAAGCTCTGTGCTTTGTTTCTTATTTTCAACAGTGAAAATCGATCGTTTCGTCCGTGGACGGATATTCATCATGTCAGCCGGATATGTCTGTATCTTTGGTTTCGATTCGGCTATCTAGTTCTCAGACGCACTGAGTAACGCGCGACGAATACAAAGTGATCAATTTTCGATTCCACGTTTGCTGCTTACCGATGGATTCTCGAACAGTCTTGATTTTGGAGAAAGGACTTTAACGCGCATTGTCGAAATTTCACTTATTGGTCGCTTTCATGTTTGTTTGCAACTAATACCGCTCTCGCAAATCTCAGAGAGAGAGAGAGAGAGAGAGAGAGAGAGAGAGAGAGACTTGTACAGACTTTTTTCAATACTCGACATTTTTGCTCGGGCGTACCAACTGCTCTTTGTTCGTCGTGCTCCAATTTTTTAACGAAGAATATTTGATTTGTTTGTGGACTCGCTCTTCGAGATGGATCCCGTCCGAATTAGACGACACCAAGGCCAGCCGTTTGATTTCTCACTCGGCGATGAAAGGGCCGACCAGGGTCGATCGCGGAGGGCGTCCGGTCGCCGAGCGATTCCCCCGTTCGCACCTTAACTGCCTCCCACGTCCGCGGGAGTCTCGCTCACCTGGCCGGTAGCATCCTCCTGCACTCCCGTCGAGGACTTTCTCCGAAAGACGGCCAACTATATAAGCGAGATGCACGCTGTTTGAAGCACGTTAGACGAAATCGTACAGGTGCGTCGAGCAGGCCACGTAGCCGCTGCGTTTCGATCCTTTGCTCGTACGTAGACAAGTATCTCTCCGGTAGCCGCCTAAAGAGGTGCTCGTTCGGTCGAGCGCGAGGAACGCGAAAGGACACGGTCGTGCATGTGACTTGGCGAGGACCGAGCGCAGAAGCTTCCACGAGACTTTTGGAGACCGCCGGAACCATGAGGTCCGCGAGAAGTCGGGCCCCTCTGGCAATAACCGTGCTGGCCGCGACCGCCTTGTTGCTGAGGCCTATCCACGCGGACGGTAAGAGAGGAGGAGGAGGAGGAGGAGGACGGACCTCCGTCGAGCGCCCTCGAATAGATGTGTGATCGGCCGTAGAGAGATAATGCGCGATAACGTGACAGGGAGAAGGCATCCGACTGGATTTAACAAACTTTCTCTATTAGAGTATAAAACGTGTAATTAATGGCCGTCGTGCCGCACAGCAATTTGTAGCCGGCATATCGGAGAACTCGCGCTAGAAAGTACGTCGAGACATCGAGCTTAACAATCGTCTCGCGATGCGTTGGATTTTTGCACGGCTACTAGAAAGTGAGAAAGCAAACATGAATTCGGACTCCTCGAGTCAACTTGGATCGAACGTGTGTGTTTTTTCCTCTATATTTTTCTTCTCCGTGTATACCATCTCCGTGTATTACGCAGTACTGTTGTACCGCGCAAAGTGAGAGACGACGGTAGCTTCCTCGACGCTCTTCTTTCTTGGATCAATATAATCGATAAGTCCTTTTTTTGTTGGTGTACTACTTTACGTACCGCTTTAGCGGTCTCAGGTGCCATTATCGATGGATTTAAGTAAAAATGAGTGTCAGTCCGAAAGGTGCTCTCCCACAACTTGAGATAATTTTGAAACTTTATTGGTCCAATTAACCGTTTAAGCGGCCGTATATTTTTTGCTCGTTTCAAAAGCAGCACGCGCGCGTTGTATTTGTCAAGTCGGGACGAATGGAGAAAAACAGAGCGGAAACTGAGCGTGACTGAGGAGCTCCTGAAATGGAGAAACAGAATAGATGTTGAGACGAGATGTGAGTTGCCGGCCGGTGTCTTTAGGCGAATTAGACGCATGGCGTCTAGAGTCAGGTGTATAAATCAGGTTACTCTCTTAAAATGAATCAGTCAAACATCACTGAAAACAGTGAATATACACTGATTTGCAAATATAAGTGTTGCACTGAAAGTGCTGAGTGCTATACTTATAACTGATATCAGTGACTATTCACTGATTCACTTTAAAACAGTACCGTTTCGCAATTTCGCGCGATTCTTGCTCACCTGCGTAAGTCGAAATTTTGACGCGTGCTTTACAGGTTATCGTTCATATATCATTGCAAATCTCGTTGGCAACCGACAAACGGGATCATTTAACAGGACGGCAAAGCGTACGCCTTCTCATACGCCTCGTTCTCGTGCTAAAATGAAGAAGGAATGACTCTTTAATGGTTAGATATTATCATTTGTTGCGATTTCTTATCATTTTTATCCGATATGTTCAATGCTTTTGACACGTTTGTCCCTTTCCGTTTGTCGTTACACTCTGTCGTTTAGTTCTATTCTCGGTCGATTTTCTCTCACACATTTCTGTCGCGATATCGGCATTAAGCGGCTTCTTCGACGATCGCATCGTCGTGCATCACGTTTGCGCGATAAATCAATCGGACGCGCTGTTTGCATTCGCGAAGAAAGCGAGCGTGACTCGATCGCGAGAGTGACGTTAATGCTCGTAGAAAATTCGATACACGCGACTATATTGTCGTGAATATCACGACTTTGGTTCCAACTGGACGAACAAAACGCAATCGCTACGGTCGAACGTAACGGCGATCAGATTCGTCGACTATCGCGTCGAGAGCAGGTGGAGAGCAGGCAGCCAAGTCTCACGACGATAAGAAATCGTCACGGTCTGATTAAGTTTTCATAGTCGCTGCCAAATTGCAAACATAACATATCGATTCACTTGACGCTAGAGAGACTTCTTTTCAATTATCAAGTTTGCATGTTGTATTTCCCTATTTTGAATTTTTCGGAACAGTCCGAATGAAATTTTGGTCGGAATTTTGGTTAGACTTTGAATTCTACAACGCATAGTAGAAGCTAAGTTAACAAAGTAGATTTAATTCTAATGGTAATGATTTACAATTTAGAATAGAATTCTAGTGATGTACAATTTGCTCCTACTTTGATTCTGATGATGTCCGAAATTTCCTCTTTTCACTTTCTTTAGTGTCAAAATATGTATTGAATGGAATTCTGAGGCTGAAAGTAGGGTCAAAACTTCGACTCGGGTGATTTCGGATAATTCGAGACACACATACACACACAATTCAACGAGATTTTAGCGATAAAGAACCATTTAAGTAAATTTGAATCATTTTCTACAATTTTCTACAAAAACTACGTTCCAAGAAAAATCCAAGTTTTCAAATCATTTTATGCTATTCCGCTAGAATTTCAGAATCGCGACTGCTAAGAGGACGTAAATCCTACCGCCATGGTTCATCATTCACTGTCTCGCCGCTAATCACGTCATGGCAAAAATAAATAACGTTTGTTAACAGTAATTTTACACAAATTACAATGCGTACCGGATGTAACAGCCATTCTGCGCGCGCGCAAATAAGAGTTTTTGGATCGTGCGCGCCAAGAGCGATTCAAGTATTCGAGATGCATCATAATAATATGTAAAGGAGATAGGTATCTGCCTCGTAACGACTATTATTTATTTTTCGATATTCTCTAAATGAGACGGATGAAGACTAATGTCTCATTTCCTGGACGCGAAGAACGCACGATATTGAACGAAGATGTTGGAGACATCACGGTAATTTTCAAAAGAGGGATATTTTAGTCGAGGGACACTAGTTTCCGTAAGAGGAATAAGCCTGTTGAAAAGAAAAGAAACGTTTATCAAAATTAAAAAGAGACCGTGAGTGTTTGGCCGAGTCGAGTTGAGCGTGAATATCGGGGATCGGAATGAGAAATATTCATCGACGATGCTTTCAGCACCAGTCTCTGGTAGCTACTTGCCACCGTCCACCAGCTACGGCACACCTAACTTGGGAGGAGGAGGAGGAGGAGGAGGAGGGGGAGGAGGTCACTCTGGTGGTGGTGGAGGAGTATCGACGAGCTACGGTGCACCTTCCGGCGGTGGTGGCGGTGGTTTCGGAGGTGGTCGACCTTCGTCGAGCTACGGCGCGCCTCCTTCCACGAGTTACGGGGCACCGTCCAGCGGTGGCGGCGGCGGCGGCGGCGGTGGAGGTTTCGGCGGTGGTTTCGGCGGTGGTTTCGGTGGAGGTGCGCCTTCCAGCAGTTACGGAGCACCTTCTCCCAGCTACGGTGCCCCATCTCGCGGCGGCGGTGGTGGTGGCGGTGCACCCTCCGGTAGCTATGGAGCGCCTTCCATAGGACGTCCGTCTTCCACTTACGGGGCGCCTTCCAGTGGAGGTGGTGGCTTCGGCGGAGGTGGTTTCGGCGGCGGCGGTAAACCATCGTCGACCTACGGAGCACCTTCGAACGGAGGTAGCAGGCCCTCGTCTACTTACGGCGCACCCTCCGGCGGTGGTGGCGGTGGTTTCGGAGGTGGTTTCGGTGGAGGAGCTCTCTCGTCGAGTTACAGCGCACCTTCTACGAGCTATGGGGCACCGTCGAATGGTGGCGGCAGACCCTCGACCGGTTACGGGGCGCCCAGCTCCGGCGGATACTCTGGTGGCGGCGGCGGTGGTGGATACTCCGGTGGCGGCGGCGGCGGATACTCCGGTGGTGGTGGCGGCGGCGGATACTCCGGTGGTGGCGCTGGTGGTGGATACTCTGGTGGTAGCTACTCCGGCGGGGGTGGCGGATACTCCGGTGGCAGCGGTGGCGGTGGTTTCGGAGGCGGGTAAGGACGAAAGCGAGGAATGATTCAATGGTGATATGTTACTTCTCTCCTCACCATGTTCCCTCGTTGTCCTCAGCTCCAGCGGTTACTCTGGTGGCGGCGGTGGAGGCGGCAGGCCGTCCTCGAGCTATGGCGCGCCAAGCTTTGGAAACGGCGGCGGCGGCGGCGGCGGCGGCGGCGGCGGCGGCGGCGGCGGCGGCGGGGGTGGACAGAGTTACGCCAGCAACGGAGGATACCAATATTAATTCAGACACGTGTTCACACGCACTCGGCGAGGCGAGGCGATCTCTGTCGCATCGATCGCATCGGCTTCCATCGGATTCTATGATATCGATTAGACGTCCATCTCTCTCTTTCTATCCCCCGGCATTCGTCAATCGATGCGTCAATTGACCGTCGGAAAACGCACATTGATTCTTGTGCGAAGAAGGCGGCTGAGTACCCTCGTGATGTTCATGGTTAATTATCGTGGACGTGACAAGCGAAGAGGCCGTTGCGCCGCGAATATAAGCGAATCTCGTTGTCGAATATATCTCGGATGACTTGGATGAACGATCGCGCGCCGATGTGTCCTTCGTGGGAGCGTTTCTTTGTGGCAGCCGACAGGAAATGACAGAGTACGAGGACCGTTCGCCGCGTTCTAATAAATCTACAAAACACCTCGGATTGCTAAATGTTTCCGGCAAAAAATGCCATTCACACTACGATGGGTTCTCGAACAGTTATGAATGACGAAATATTCGTTATCAAGGCAGACGCGCATCCGCGAACAGTCAGGCGACGAGACATAATTCCCCTTACCATCTTTTTTTATTCTTAGCTATTATTACTTCCACGCGCTTCCACTAAGGTGTCTCTGTTCACGGAGCCTTCCGTTGACGTCGAAAGATGTCTACCAGCGAAGAAGGATGACGGAGAATGTACGAGATTCTATATTCGGAGCCTGTAACTTATTTATTTTGTAAAGACGCTTTTTGTACTAATAATAAAGCCGCTCTACGCTAATGAGATACATTTCTCAGATAACATCTCCGATTGTTATTCATTGATCTCATAGAACGCGGATATATATCCGACAGATCGTTTCGCGCGAGTGAAACCATTAACTAGACATCCCTGTCGTGCACGAGGCAAACTTTCTACATCCGGATGAAGACGACTGCTCGAGAAGCGAGGTCGAGGAGCTCGGGCGTAAGGTTAGTCGGCCGACGCGGACAGACGGTCGATTTATCGATTGCCATGGCTTGGATATCGGGAAAGCATGAATAACTAAGAGTCTTCTCTTTCTATTCCTGCCGTTGAGTGTCTAAGAGCGCGTATCGATGTCGAAAGCTTCGCGGCCATCTCGATTCGAGCGTGTCCTCTGACCTGACGTTGAGTCGCACTCGAAGTTGAGACGGAATGGAGATGCCGCAAACAAGTCTTGACGCTTACGTCAAAATTTGCACCTTAAGAAACTCTGGAGAATCGTAAATATTCGAGCTCGCTCGCTCGCTCGCTCGCTTGCTCCGATCTGCGGTAGTAGATTCTATTGGTGTATCTGAGCGATACAATGCAGCCATCGTCACGATCACAACATATGTATTATATCGCCGCAAACAAGGTAGGTTGTTGCATCATATTCTCTTTTCAAAATTCTTTTCGGATGAAATTAATCCGCGCCTCCAGTTTGAAGATATCATATCCTTTGAGCGAAACTGGCTTTCTGTTCGCTCTCTTTGGTAAAAATTTGCTAAAGTCGCTGATTGGTCGAATTTTTATTCATAGCCTGGTGATTGCAGCCGAGAGCAATTAAATGAATTAATTAAGCGAATAATAATTTTACTTTAGATCGAAGAAGAAAGAGTTTAGGCGGTACTTACGGGAAAGTCATATTTTCCATTGCGCAACTATAAACTTAAAAAGTAAGTTTTGAAAATTGTAGAACTGGTACAGTCGCGCTGCAGTCGGGGACGCGCGTAATAATGAGAACCAGCCGATATTTTTGTACACCGTTTATTTGTAACATTTACAATCAACATCTCTTTCGTTTGTCAATTATACACGTATATATAATGTCATATAATACAATAACATTTCTGCAATACATATACATGGATATATTCTTCCGGGCGGGATAAGGAGGGGGGATTGATCCTCCGCGCGGGGTTTGTTTTATACATTATTAAATAGTACTCTACGTTAGGTAGTCATCCCGTGCGTTTGGGACGCGTAACATCAAGTACGCCATCGTTGGTCTCCAAGTGAGAAAGTAATCGACCGTTTCATTCAGTTGGAAATCGTTCTCGCTAAGTTATCGTTACCGCCTGCTATCGATTCGCACACTCGGCACTTCCTTCTCTTCTTTTTTTCTTTTTTTCACACGATCACGCTACTCTGCGCGAAAGAGTAAAATTTCGGATGAACAACGTTTCGTTTAGATTGTTCTTCTTTGAATTGACAGGAAAAAGAGATTTGTCCGAAACGTTAATTGGCGATTTACTGAACGCGTCAATTGTGTGGCCGTATGTACAACGATAGAAATTTGAAAATAATTTTCCCAACACGGTCCGATGTTTTGGTTAACGAGATCGTCGGACCGGCGGGATTCCACAAATGAGAGAGACTACGAAGTAGTGAACAAACAGTGCGCTAAATTATCAAAAGAGAACGCGAGAAGACGCGAGCGGACAAAAAGAAGAGAAGGAACAACGAGCGCTTCTCCTTTAATTTAAAAGAGAACGCTTTCACCCCTGAAAAAGAGGGGTACATACTATATGTACACACTTCATCTTATTGCGCACTTCCACCTCCATACCTTAAACTAATCACCTAGATACAATAGAGCACACTTTATGACATGTATAGGTTTCTCGTTGCGTCATCGATTACAACGTATGTTGATATGTAGATGATATGTGGCCGTCTTATGAGAGTCTCTCTCATAAGCTATAACTGTATCTCTTCCGCTTCAACTCGCGGCTTCTCCTTCTCTTTTAAATTCGTATAAAACAAACAGTGGGAACGTCTATTTATCGATTAATCTCATCTCGAAGCGTAGGTGTAGATCGGGAAAAGCAAATTGAGAATATATCGTATGCGCCACAATGACCGATTCAGAAAAAGAGAAGGGGATCGACTGCGCGCGGTAAACAATACCTTATCTTTGCAATCGGTTCAGTAAGTGTAACCGTTGAAAATCAAATACGATGCAGAGACAGACAGAACGCGGACTTAGAGATACAAAAAGAGTCGAGGAAACTAATATATATCTTTATATTTCAACGATCTACGATGTAAAAATTCAAAATTGAATAATCCGAGAATTTCCAGATTCTCGACACTGGCATAACCAAGAAGCCGAAAAGCTCTCAAGGCTCTTGTCGCGTTCAAAGCCACCGTACGATGCACTCGTATCGTACAAATTACCACCGTTTGCTTCGAAAGACTGGACACAGGAATGAGGAGAGCAAAGTGAGATACGTCTCGATATACGGAACTCGGAAAATACGTACGAGTCTTTGAACGGATTGAGACAAATATAACATGAAAAATCGGTCGAAAAGTTCATAAACAATCGAAAGGATATCGTGTGTAGAAAAATACGATACTTTCGTATTGCCTCTGGAGTGCGAATATAATAACCCCGATTCTCGGAGCCGGTCCGCTCGTCATCGTCTCTAATAAATATATCCGAGTGAAAGTTCGCCGTTCAATGACTGACGGAAATACACGAGATGTGCATGCTACGGCGAGCTCACGTTCGTTCTAACGAATATCACCTCCTTGTCCCTGTGCGCCGCATCTTCCGCTTTATTTGCGAACGCGCATCGTTGCGCTCGTAATTTCACCTGGACTATTCGTAATTTCATGCTCGGCTTAACGAGCCGCTTATACGATGACGTATACATCGTATTCATCGCTCGGTCGTGAATATTTTGATTGCATTGAGTCACTTTGCGATAGAGAAGCTCGAGAACGAACGAGGCGCGTTATTTTCGTCAACACTTTTTGCGCGGAGGGAAGCGAGTATTTTAACTTTTCTTGAAACTCTTTTTCTGTGGCAGAGAACTTTCCAAAAATGATAATAATCACGCACTTTAGACAGAAATTGCCGATTGGACACTCGCGAACATGCAGCGAAATGAGAACGGAAACGATAAAATGGCTTGAATTTCAATTTAATCAACAGTGTCGTTTACCTCGCGAAGAAAAATCAGCGTAAGATTACAAAATCAGACGCTTATCACAATTCATCGGGTGATTAAGAACTAAGTAGAAAAATATTTTACAATCTATGAAATTATCTATAAGTATCTCATCTCTCATCGTTACGCGGCGTCGCACTTCGAGATTCGAGAACAAAGTCCTCGCGCTTAATACTTTTTGAAATCAGGAAACGCGCGTCTGCCAGCCTATACCAGAGCCAGAGACGGTCCGCAATGAAATTGACAAAACTCAAGTTTTGGGTTTGATTCTCATTCATTAACGTCATGATTCTCGGGAAGTCTCTAGATATCGATACTTCTCAACATCTCTGTCAATTTTCGAACAAAATTATACAGACTGCTGCGTCACCTTCATCGACAGCCTTATTGTTTTATCGCATTCGAAACCCTCCGAGGATTATCAATTTCCGGCTTCGGCGTCAGTCTCGAAGCGCGGCGCTCCCATTTTTTGGCGGTAAACAATGATACGATACATGAGCAATCGGATATGTAACAAGTATAATATTATTTTCCTAGGCGTTTATTGTGTAGCATCTTTGAGGTCGGCGCAATATATGATATAACAAACTAACGCGCGAAATTAACAATGATCGCTATGATAACACATCTGCGATATTCACGTCTATTGATTTAGTCTTCTAGTGTATAGAGGATGTAAGAAGAAAGAGAGAGAGAG